TGGTGGAGTCTGATGGTGGAGTCTGATGGTGGAGTCTGGTGGTGGAGTCTGGTGGTGGAGTCTGGTGGTGGAGTCTGGTGGTGGAGTCTGGTGGTGGAGCCTGATGGTGGAGCCTGATGGTTGAGTCTGTTGGTTGAGTCTGGTGATGGAGTCTGGTGATGGAGTCTGGTGATGGAGTCTGATGGAGGAGTCTGGTGGTGGAGTCTGGTGGTGGAGTCTGGTGGTGGAGTCTGGTGGTGGAGTCTGTTGGTGGAGTCTGTTGGTGGAGTCTGTTGGTGGAGTCTGTTGGTGGAGTCTGGTGGTGGAGTCTGGTGGTGGAGTCTGGTGGTGGAGTCTGGTGGTGGAGTCTGGTGGTGGAGTCTGTTGGTGGAGTCTGTTGGTGGAGTCTGTTGGTGGAGTCTGTTGGTGGAGTCTGTTGGTGGAGTCTGTTGGTGGAGTCTGTTGGTGGAGTCTGTTGGTGGAGTCTGTTGGTGGAGTCTGGTGGTGGAGTCTGGTGGTGGAGTCTGGTGGTGGAGTCTGGTGGTGGAGTCTGGTGGTGGAGTCTGTTGGTGGAGTCTGTTGGTGGAGTCTGTTGGTGGAGTCTGTTGGTGGAGTCTGTTGGTGGAGTCTGTTGGTGGAGTCTGTTGGTGGAGTCTGTTGGTGGAGTCTGGTGGTGGAGTCTGGTGGTGGAGTCTGGTGGTGGAGTCTGGTGGTGGAGTCTGGTGGTGGAGTCTGTTGGTGGAGTCTGTTGGTGGAGTCTGTTGGTGGAGTCTGTTGGTGGAGTCTGTTGGTGGAGTCTGTTGGTGGAGTCTGTTGGTGGAGTCTGTTGGTGGAGTCTGTTGGTGGAGTCTGTTGGTGGAGTCTGTTGGTGGAGTCTGTTGGTGGAGTCTGTTGGTGGAGTCTGTTGGAGGAGTCTGTTGGAGGAGTCTGAAGGGGGAGTCTGATGGTGGAGTCTGTTGGTGGAGTCTGTTGGTGGAGTCTGTTGGTGGAGTCTGTTGGTGGAGTCTGATGGTGGAGTCTGATGGTGGAGTCTGATGGTGGAGTCTGATGGTGGAGTCTGATGGTGGGGTCTGGTGGAGGGGTCTGGTGGAGGGGTCTGGTGGTGGAGTCTGGTGGTGGGGTCTGATGGTGGGGTCTGGTGGAGGGGTCTGGTGATGGAGTCCGCCCACACTCTGACATTTTCTAACCTTACTTCATCCTTCCTATTCAGGACCTCGTGGCCTGGGTGACCGTCGGCTTCCTCCACATCCCTCACTCTGAGGACATCCCCAACACCTCCACCCCAGGGAACGCAGTGGGGTTCTTCCTCCGACCCTTCAACTTCTTCGATGAGGATCCATCGGTGGCCTCCAGGTCCACGGTCATTGTGAGGCCGACAGACAAGACCTTCAGTAGAGCGACCATCAAACGTTGGACTCCGGAGGTTGTTGGTCAATGTGTGTCTGACAAACCCTTCCGGTATAACGGGACATACTTCTACGACTGAGAGGTCACCTCTGAGGTCTGAGGACCAGAGAAGGGCGGAGCCTCCCATAGTTGGACACTGAGAATAAATTGCCATATTTTCTGTGGACAGGAGAAGGTCCGGCGGTTCCCTCATATATAGATCTTTCCATGGAGGCCGCAGAAGTACAAAGCCGCAATCTTTTCTATCACCTCTTTTTAGGGAATTTCTATGAGCAGAGTCACCTCTGTGCAATAAATGGCGGGGGCTGGGACGCAGTGCGTGGCTGTTTTGTGGCCATCATCCACACTTCACACTTGAATTATAATGTCTGGTGAGGTCAGAAGATGGAGAGACCACAGAGACAGGAGGACAGCAGGTAGTAACCTGGAGACAGTCTGGTATCCATTAGATAGGACACCTCCTGTAGGGAATCCTCACTGAACTATTGTGGTAGAACAGCCAGAAAAGGGTTCATACTCCGGGTGCAGCATTGACTTACAGTGGGCAGGCTCCTAGGGCTGCAGGGTTAGAGGGGGCACCAGGCCTCAAATCCAGAAAGAGAACTGTAGCGGGATGGGGATGAATCTCTCTCTTTCCTATTTCTTGATCTCAGGTCTGTACACCTCATCAGCATATAAATCAGACAACGTACCACCTCTATGAGCAAGTTCTGGTATTGTTTTTTAAGTAATCACATGATACAGGGGCGGAGCTTGTCCTCACCTGTGCCCATCCCTATACAAAACTATGACCATCCCTATACAAAACTATGACCATCTCTGTCCTCAGTTGTGCCCATCCCATATCTTCACCTGTCTTCATCCCTATCTTCACTCATGACCATCCCTATCTTGACCTATTACCACCACTGTCCTCACCTATGACTATGATCAGTCCACTTTTCAATCTTTACCTATGACAGACTATTATTATTATTATTATACAGGATTTATATAGCGCCAACAGTTTGCGCAGCGCTTTACAATATAAGGAAGACATTACAATCACAATACAATTCAAGACAAGATGGTAAGGAGAGCCCTGCCCCTGAGGGCTTACAGTCTAAAGGGAGGGGCCAGTGATACATGAGGAGGTTGACTACATCCCCATCTTTAGCTGTGGCTGTGTGCAGTAAGATAATTATGATGAATACATAGTGGACTTGATGGTTACCGGTTTATGTGTAATAATCAACAAACACGACCAACTTATTAATAAATGATCACACCTCACATCTAAAAATCTGACAAATACGAGATTCAACCAAACATTGAATTCTCTACTCTGTACATGAATTATAAAATCTGCCTGTCTGTGTGGTTGGTTTATAAACATTGATCAGAGGGAGATAGAGAGATACAAAGTAACATTGTATATAAACATTGATCAGAGGGAGATAAGAGAGATACAAAGTAACATTGTATATAAACATTGATCAGAGGGGAGAGAGAGAGATACAAAGTAACATTGGTTGTCAGGACGGGTTGTGCTGATGGGTGTTGGTAGTTTCAGTCGGCATTAGATGAACTTCGAGCCTCGTGCGGGTACATTTAGTTTACCCCAATTAGCTCCTCCCCCTTCCCCTTGCATCTATTATCTATTTGTCTGATAAATTCTACATAATTTTTTCATTTTGTTGAATAAAAACAGCAAAAAATTGAAACAAAATGAAGAAAATAAACCCGAAATCCCCCCCTACCCCCCCACCGCGTCTCACTTTACACTTTAATCCAGAAATGTTCCTCCAACAGTTGGGGGGAAGGTGCACGGGGGGAGGAAATATGAAGAGCTCAGTTTTGGAAAGGTTGAGTTGTAAGAAATGTTGTGACATCCAGACGGATATGTCAGATAGTAGATTAGTGACACGCAAGGACACTGAGGGTGGGGAGGGGGATGGAGGACACTGAGGGGGAGAGTTGTGGAGTGGAAAGATAGATTTGAGTGTCATCGGCATTAAGATGGTATTGGAAGCCAAGTGAGGTTATTAGTTGACCAAG